AGGGTGCGATTGGGAAGCTTGAAGAACCAGTTTGGAGGTTTTGTTTGTTTATCTTGAGATCACAGCAGGGTTCCTGCCCCCCCCCTCTTTTGGGGGGTCTGACTTTGGATTTATTTTCTTTGGGGCAGTCATTGAGGTTTCATTCAATGTCCTGAATTAAAAAATACACTCCACTTGTAGCTTTCCCAGGTTGCACTTTAAAACACCATCCAGTCTCACCCTCATCTGGAAATAATGCAAGCTTCTTTCTCTTCCCCCGCTCCCTCCTCCCCCACTGTTTTTTTTTTTTTTATTTCTTTTTTCCCCCCCTTTTAAAGCCCCACATAACCTGCAGTCGGTAATCGGATGGAAAATGTGCTGGTCTTAGTTTACTCTAGTCTAGTCTCCCTTTCGGTGGCAGCCTTACTTGGAGAGGTGTATTTTTAAAAGAGGCATTTTGTGCACATGTAGTTACCGAGCCTTGAAATCTGTCACTGATGTAAACTTGCCGTTAAGTTTCCTCAAAGGCGCTGGTTTACGTGCAACTTTTAATATGTTTGTTGTGTGGCCGTAAAAAAAAAAAAAAAGTACAAGTAGAAGGACAGCAGAGAGCTGAACGGTGGCGTTAGTTCATGTAAAGTCATTCATCCTCTCCCTCCCCCTTCCTTTTTCCAAGAAACAACTAATCACAAACCGGGCTAGAGTTTCTAAAGGAGGTTCGGGGAGGAAGAGGGGAGAGGCGGAGCGGGGCAGGGGCGAGGGCAGAAGGGCCGGGACGTGGCCCATTCACGGGGCGGAGAGGTTGACATTGTCTGCGCCCTGCTGAATGGCTCCCCGGAATTGTACCTCTGCCTCCCCTCCCCCTCCACGTGACGACCAGGACACATGCGCACCCGACGCCCGCACATCTGCACACTGACGTCAGTGCTCTGCCTCCGAGGAAAAGCTGCCAAATTTTCTGCTGCAATTCAAGTTGGCTGGGGGCGGGTAGTGAGATCTAGGGCTCGCTACTTCCACAAAACCGACTCCTCTCGTCTCCTTTTCTCCTGATACCTTTTGATGCTCTTCCCATGTTATTTGCATAGCAAAAGGCACTAAGCTGTCCAGGAAGAAAGGGCACCACTTCCACCCCCAATAAGTCTTTTTTTTACCCCCCCTCCTTCCTTTTTTTTTTTTCCTTTCCTTTCTTTTTTTCTTTTTCTCTTTTTTTGGGAGGGGGGCGGGAGAGAAAGGGGGCTTGCAAAGGCAGCATCTCAGGATGATAACCTGGTTGTACTGAAGGCATCTCTTTTTTTCTGCCAAATCGGAAAGTCCGTTCTCTAAAACCTGGGTTAGCCAGACTATAGGGTTTTATTCTGGCTGCAGAATAACTAGCTGACTGCTGTGGCTTTGCAAAGGGGGGCAGAAAAAAAAAAAGTTAAGAGAGGAGAGGGAGTACGTGAGTCGTCCAGTGCAATCTCTATTGTTTGAAACTTACTTTTTATCAGAATTTGAAGATGAAAACGGTAAGGAAGACTTCACAATATTCAATGAAACCGTTTTTTTAAAAAAATTAAAACTTGTGCTTTGCTTGTCTTCCGAATAACGCGTAGAAAACTTTTTTTCTGTCTGTGTGTGTGTGTATTTTTTTTTTTTTTAATGGCAATGAGTGAGCTTGACTGAACTCATTTTACAGATAGAAATCTTTTTAACTCCAGACTAGTCGGGGGCTGGAGAATTCTGGGTCTTGCAAATATTTTATGATGCAAAATATATACGTTTATTATACATATAGATAATGTTTTGTGAAGTATGAATTGATTATGATTATTGTGGTCTTTTAACTCATCACCAAATAGTAATCGGGAAAGTAATAATGATGTGTATTTATACTGATTTCCAGTTTTCTTAAAGAAAAACCTTCTGCATTTTATGGTTTCATGTCAGTGTCTTAAGTAGTCAGACAAGTGCATAGTTTATGCCTGGGCTCAGAGGGCAGAATTAATGTGCTAGCTGTAGCCCCGATGCTCTAGGATATGTTAAGCTCTTAATAGGCTAATCAAAGAGATGGAAGCGTGTGTTTTTGATTTACTTTTGGCCACTTGGGACGTGCTAGACTCACATCCCTCCGGAGCCTTGAATATCGGGGTATGTCTGTTTATATGGTACATGGGATCAAAGTTCAGGGATTTGGGGGGGCGGTGAGTGCTGCAGGGGTTATTGGAAAGCTGCCTTCTGATAATGTGTACTACAATTCCTGTCTTTGGTAATTTCTTTCCTTGCTGTACTAGAAGAAAAGAGAGCGAGAGAGTGAGAAAGCGCACTGAGAGGGAACAAGAGAGTGAGTTTCTTACTCTTGTTTTTATTTGAGCTGCCGGTGCAACGCGTTTGGGCCAAATGCCAACTGTCTGGGTCACACGCGTTTTATCCAAATAGATTTAGCGCTGCTGTCTGGAAATGGGCTCCTGAATGTTAACTTTAGGATCAACTCAACCAGGGCAGCTCAGACTGTTCCCCTCTGTCTGGGCGCAGCGGGGCTGGGGGAAGGGGCATTGGGGTGTGCAGTACCGGGCGGGGGAAGGAAGGGGGGACTGAACCATGGCTTGGAACTTTTAAAAAGACACTGGAGTGTGATTTTCAACATACTCTTTTATGTTTAAATATCTTGGATACATTTTCTTTCTTTTGTTTTTCTTTCTGTTTTGAGCTTATGTTGATTAGTCTCAGACTTAGCTGTGGGAATGACAGTTCTCAAAATTCATCACAGGGAAAGAAACATAAAATAAAACTGGTGTCGTTGAAGGAAGTTGAGAAAATTAATTTTGGAGATAATTGTTTTCCTGTGTTTCACCAAAGTGGTGACTGCAATTCTGGTTTCTGTTAATTTAGTGCTTAAATGTGATCATCGGTGTTTTAGGTTTTTGAAGGATAGCGTATAGAGGCGAATAGGTGATTTCAAACAAATCAAATTCATTCATTTGCCACAAATGGCAGCAAATGAAATCTATGTTGTGGTATTAATATTTTTGTGATTCTCAAGGGGAAAAATCTCTAACCTCAAGACCTGAAATATTTTAATACTTTTCCTGTCTGGGCCAGTACGTGTGAAATGAATTCCTCCTCCCGTCTACTCTTACCACTTCCTCTTTATTTCCTTAGCAACCACTAGTAGCTACTAGTGGTTTAGGATGGGTCTCTATGCCAGATCTTATCCTATGTGTGACTTCTGTGAGTGAATAAAGAAAGTTAATACAGTAAGAGAATTAGTAGCACATTCTAGGGAACATTTCTGGAGGGAAGAAGAAAGCATGGAAGAGGTTGGTGGCTCTCTTGGTTTCACCAAAGGACATGGTTGAGTATCAACATTTTGAGCCAACCTCAAGAGAAGAATGTGTTTGTTTTTCAGGAGAGAAGTTATAACAGATAATGTATATTTAACTTGCCATCTGGAAAAAAATAGTTTGGGGCAATATGTAATTTCGGACCTGATTTTTGTAGAATGATGTTTTGTATTATTGCTTTTGGCTCACTTGCTTTTCTTGATAGATAAGTTTTGAGTATGTTTGATTATACCTTTCCTTGGAAACCGATCTTACAAAGCTTATAAATGATCTGGAAACCTGTGTACTGTTAGCCTAGTGGTGTCCCTGGAATATAGTATATGACAATAAATATTTGTTGAGAGAATAAGTGGAAAATGAAATGAGAGGCTAATTTTCACATATAACAACTAAACACCTGAAGGGAGTATAGTATTGCTGCTTCCTCTGTGAAGACCAGATCAGCCTTAAGATAAAAAACCAGGGTTAAGATGGATGAAAGAAGTTGAGAAGGGTGTTATACATGTTCTTTTAGCTCCATAATAATGGTTTGGGAGAGGAAATTATTACTTTGGCTACTCCCAGATCACTTGAGTGGGAAGTGAAGATGATAGAGGAAAAAGACAAGTAAGTACCTTTCAACCAGGGCCGACTACCGAGGGAATTACTGTAGTGCAAGTTGTCTGATCTTATTTCTGTTTGCCTAGAGTAGCTTTGATCCATGGAAGCAGGTAAATGACCCCTTAACTTTACTGGCTGGTGCATTTGTATTAGGGAGAAAAGCATACATGAAATCAAAGTAGAATGAAAGTTTTCAGTCTTGTTTTTAAATTTAAAGTATTGTAAGCCCAGTTATCATGACCTAAATTCTTTACTGTTTAAAAGACAATACAATGTAGTTGATTGATTCCATCATCATTTCCAACTGTTCCACATTTTTGAGGGAAGGAAGCACATAAAACTACTTATGAAGGAAGGCCTTCGAAAAGTGATGAGTCAGGGAACGAGGAAGGGTGGAGGGGCTAATATTTGTTTAGCCATTAAAGCCAAGTGTGCGGACACTTCACATCATGTGTAATCTAATTTAATCTCTCAACAAGTCTTTGCAAGGTAGATATCATTATCACAGTTTTATAGATGAGGTAACAGATCCAGAGAGTTTACATAGCTTGGAGTCAAGCCAGGACTCAAAGCCTTTGTGCTTTTCCATAATAATGCTTCTGCCATACAATGTAAACAGCTAGTGCTTTATGATTTCTGGACAATTATGTAATGTTTTAATGTTAGTCTGAATTCTGGAAACTATATCTGTTAGTGCCTCTACATAGTTGATGATACGCAGATTAAGCTCTACAGCAGGTGTCAGAAAGTAAGTTAACCCATTTATTAAAAAAAAATATATTTTTAACCATTTAGGTTACCCACTTTATTGATCGAAAAAATTATAGTAAGAAACTTGGCACATTGATTTTCATCTGTTAAAATGTTATCATCTGGTATATAATAATAATTATTTAAGTAGAGAGTATAGTATGGAAAGGCAAGAAAGGAAACCAAGAGGCAGACAGAGGCCTTATTTCCATAGTTAGGCCCTTGATAGGCTTTATCCTGAGAAAAGCAGGGAGCCCTTGAGGATTATTGAGCAAGAGAGGGTCATTGTCACTTTGGGGGCTAGTGTTAGGGAAGGAAAGATTGTTCAACCCCTGCTCAGCCCTTAAACCCTAGCCACCTCCATCCCTGAGGTTCATGGCTCTCATGTAGTATTTGCAGTCCTTAAGCTGTCAGGCATGAAGGGGCAGGGGGTACCCAAAGATTGGGGATCAGAGGTTGAAGTGGTTCCTGCTACCCTGCATCCACAGCCCGTGGGCCCCAGGCTGAATGCAGTTGACCTTGATGAATTGATAATCGAAGTGTGTATTTGCGACAGAGGTGACATTTAGCAGCAAGTGCAATGAGAGAAAGGACCATAGCCCCCAGCACAACCCCTACCAGCACAGGCCATGCCAGCCAGCCCCAGGTGCCTGGTCTAGGGGGACGTGGCTGATGCTGTGGGGAGCTCTGAGGGCCCCCAAAATGGTTTGGTTTGTTTCACTTGTGGAGTAGCTGGAAGACAGACACCTGTGATCCTCAGCCTTGGCCAGAGGAGCCCTGGCTCCAAGGAGATCCCAGGTACCAGGCAGCCCTGGGACACAGAGTCCTGTTGGAGGACCAGCTAGGGCTGAAGATTGTCTGCAGGTGGAGTATCTGAATCAGAGGAGTACCTGGGAGGAATATCCAGGCTAAGAAAGCACCCTGATTTGTAGCTCCTTTCCTGCCCCCAGGAGCCCTCAGGGATTTGTGGGTTTCCCCTTCCAGCCTCCCTTAACCCATTCATTTTTATTGTGAGGTGACTAAGAGTGATTAGATATGTTTGTTGTTGATATTAGTTGAGCGTGAGCCAACTCATTTATGTGCTATTAATTTTCTTCATTGACACTGGAGGCTTGAAAAAGGTGGGGAGTGAGGGCTGGAGTGAGTAAAGGAGAAAGAACACTAAATTTATTGAGTGCCCAAGTGCCAGATACTGTAGCTAGTGGTGGAACCAAGACTGTAGCTCTGGTTTGTTTAACCTCAAAGCTTCTGCTCTTTCTGCCATGCACCAATGCCCTTTTTACTACAAATCCTTAAATCAAATGTTAGTCTGCTTCTGATCAAGTAGTTACATATTACTTTTTCTCTCAGTGCTACTGGCTTACTTAACTTGGGTGTTTACAGGACAGTGTTAGTAATGGTAAGAGTGGAGGTTACAAAACTGTGAAGAGCAGCAAATATCTCAAGGGGGAAAGGAATTAACTGTAAGAAATGAGATCAGCTAACTTTTGTCTTGAGTTTGTATAAGTTTGCCATTCGTTTTAGAGCCCAGGAAAATAGGGGGAAAAAGGATGAGTGATTCAGCACAAATCTATCACCACTACTAGAAAATTAATTGAAATGTGTTAATTATATAGTCCTCTTTAAAAGAAAATTAAAGTATAGGAGGGACTCAATGTCAGATATTATTATGGAAACAGTTGATCTAGAAAAAGTGAAAACAATGAAGAGTGAAAGTTGTTCATGAAACAACAGTTATGGAGTTTGAGATTGTATGTGAGTAGGTTGGGAACCAAGATAACTGGATTATTTTCATTACTGTTATTGCAAATGGTGTGACTTAATCTCTTCGTAGATTTTTGCCTGAAAAAGGATGTATAGTGTCTGCTCTCTTGCCTAAATCACTGTAGAAGTAATTTTGAAATGAAACAACTGTGTATAAGGTTGCTTAAAACTATTCACATTAATTAACCTATACCATTTATGAATATCTTATTTGATACTGGTTGTTTGCAACTACTATTGAATATTTAAGTTAGGATATCATAAACTGGAAGTGTGATATAATAGAAAGAATTTAGACTTTAGATCCAAGTAGCCTTGTGTATGGCTCTGGGCTCTGCTTTTTTCTAGCTATGATCACTATGAGCTTCAACTTCTTTATCTGTAAATTGGCAGCTGTATTAGTTATCAATTGCTGCAAAAAACCTAACAAACAAAAACAAAAAACCATAAACTTAGTGGCTTAAAATTACACACATTTATTGTCTCAGAGTTTCTGTGATTCAAGAGTTTGGGTATGGCTGAGCTATACCTTGTACTTCAGCGTCTCTCATGAAGCGTATTGAAGGTGCTGGCAAGGACTGGGGTCACCACAGAAGGCTCGACCAGGGAGGGGTCTGTTTCTAAGCTTACATGTTAGTGGGCAGGATTCAGTTTCTTGCAGGCTGTTGCATCGAGGGCCTCGTTTCCTTGCCAGGGGTTATCTGAAAGCTGCTCTCAGTTCCTAGCCATGTGAGCCTCTCCATATGGCAGCTTGCTTCATCAGTTCAACAAGGGAGAGAGTCCACCAGTAAGATGGAAATTAGAATCTTTTGAAATTGAATCATGGAAGTGACATCCCCTCCACAATGAGGTCTTCAACTGGTTAGGAGCATATTACTCAAGGGAAGGAGATTGCACAAGGGTGTGGATATCAGGGAGCAGGATTATTGGAGTCTGCCTGACACAGGGGCACTAACACCTTCTTCATAAGATTGTTGTGAATAGTCAAAGAAGTGACATACTTAAAATTCTCCTTATTTTTGGCCTCACCCTAAATTACCTTTCTACACATTAGCTGTTGGTCTTCTGTATAGGGACCAAACTTGCTATACTATTTTCCATTTTTTTCTTACCATTTGGACTCTGTGGAATCTATTTCTTTAATTTGTAATGATTGCCCCCAGCAATTTGACTTGTGAAATTCTGTTCATCTTCTAGGGCCTAATCTCGAATGTTGCTTTTNTTGTAATGATTGCCCCCAGCAATTTGACTTGTGAAATTCTGTTCATCTTCTAGGGCCTAATCTCGAATGTTGCTTTTTGGAAAACTTTCCTTGACTCCCCTTTCTCTGATTCAGAAGTCACCTCCCTCATCTGATCCTAACACCTTTCCATAACTTTGTTATGGCATATGCAGTCTGCCTTGAATTTTTTTCTTTGTTACTGAAATTATAAGTAATGATTTTGTCTTAATCTTTTCTGTATCTCATGGTGTTATAACATCATTTTGAAAATATAGTAAGACAATATTTGTTGATTAATGAATTAGTTTTTCCAAGGTTTAGCAGTTTAATAACTTGTAGAGACAGACATAAAGAATTTTAAGTGGTTGTGGTTATTTTATATGTTGTAATAATTGCTATTTCTAGCACCTTAGAGAATAAAGTATTCCACATAATTTTCCAATTAACTACAAATATCCTTTTATATGCCTAAAGTGATTTTATTTTAACAATTTATTTATTCACTTATTTACCCATTCATTTTTTTAACCAACAAATATGTAAGCAGTTATTACGATAATCCCATATATTAGACACTTGGGGTGAAAATCTCTAACATCTTTTGTGTCCTCTATCTTTATAGTCAGTTGTCTTTTATTAAGAGTAATTTAACCTTTATTCCTGAATCAGGCACAGTATTTTGAGCATCAGGTATTGACTATAACACAGTCATATGCACAACTGTAACTGTTAAACCACATAAGTGAGGACTGTTTTTGCTTCTACACCCAAACTGTATTGATTTGGAGAACTAATTTTTAGTTTTTTTCTCCTTCTTTGGGTCACTTTTGTGCTTTTAGTGAGATAATTTCTGGTCCCTTCATTATTTTCTTCTAAAGTGCTGTGCGCTGGAAAATCAGGTACCCAAATATGCTAGTTTCTTGTATAAAATATGAATTCATGGACTCTGAATGAGGTTTTAATAGGACATGAAATCTGTTGTGATACCTGAAATGAAATTTTAAAAATTATTTTCTTTTAGAAAATGAATTTCTTTTCCTTTCAGTTAGATTCTAGGTAGTCGAAGTTGTCTTTCTTATATGTACTGTCTTATAAGTCCTGTAAGACTTCCAGATAAAGCCAAGGATTGCAGTAAATATGGTTCAGCTTTTCAGAAGTTTAGTTTGTGTTACTGTCTGGGTGTTCAGACAGCGCCTGAATGTCATTGTGGGTTTGTAAATCCAGTCTGTAAGAAAAAAATGATAGGTGCCTCATAAGGCAACAAATCAATCGTGGATTCGAGTGTTCTTGAAAGCATGTAAAGGAGTGGGATCGCTCACTGTTTAACGCTTTTATAAAATGAATTTTCATTGTGAAGTCAGCCTACTTTTAATTTTTATCAAAAGGAGGTTAGTCACTATACACATACATTGTTATCTTCAAAGTTTTTAAATTTAAAAAGAATTTTTATTTCTCTTCAGATTCCTTCTTTGATTATTAAGTAGCTCTGACATTATCCTGCTAAACATTTAGGTTTCTAACTCTGTGTTTAGTCTTGTGAATTTTATTTAGACTATAAAGAACAACAATGGTCTAATTTAACTATGTTAAGTTATTTCGTAGTATATGTCCTTTGGCAAGCATTCGGCAATATAGATCTGTCCGTTCAGGATATTTTTCAGTTAACTTAAATTTTTTCTGTTTTTCTAGGTTAAAAAATGGCCATACTTTAGTTACTAATCAGCCTAATGCTTTGCTTATGAAAATTTTACCATCATTAATTTTTTCATTTTGGATTGAGAAAATGAATCCAGATAGAGAAGAAAGTACGGGATGTTGGAAAAAAGTACCTGTTAAACAGTGGACCATCTAATAACTAATTTGCTATGGTATTGACTCTCTAGCACATAGGTAGCCCTCCAAAAAATCATCCAGTTTGCTAAATTATGGAAATTTTGTGGAAGACGTTAACCTGGATTTTGAGCCTCATCATGGCTTCATCGGAATTTCATAGTGATCACAGGCTCTCCTACAGCTCACAAGGTAGGATTCCCACTTTTGAAACTGGCAAAAAATATTGCTATTAATCTGACAAGAAAAGTTTCTGAATATTTCGTTTGGGTGAACATTTTCTTTGGGATATGTAGTGATAGGAGCAGAGACCTACTGTGTCAGTTCAGTGCTCATTTCATAAATGTTAAGGGCTCTAAAAGTCTGTTTAACTTGTTCTATTAGTATTTAATATCCAGTGGATTTTAGAGTTGACTGGTCTTTTGCAGAAGATGATAGACTTAGGCCTCTTCTTCTGAATCCTAAACTTTAATAGGCTCATTCATTGCTAGAGTTTACAGGTAATTTCATGTTCAAAGGAATCCAAAGGTTTATACTATGAAAGAGCAAGAAACCAGACAAATTCTGATACAAGGTTTTCCTAATATGAACCCTTAGTGACATATGCTTTTCCTAACTTAAGAATTCTGATCTAAAGACTAAAACTTGGGTAAAAAAGTAAGAGTTGTAAGACGTTCAACTTTGTAGGGCCCTATGATTTTCATTCACAGAATTGAACTTTGTATCATGGAAAAGATCTTAACAGAAAGATCCCAGGAGCAAATGTCATTTTGTTTTTCGTGAACCAGTGCAATCCTTATAGAATTATTGAAAGAAGACCTTTTGGATTCCCCTCCCATGAACGAATAGTAACAGATCATTTTTTTGGTGCTGGTGAACCAGATTTTTAAGGCTTTTATAGGCTGATGTCTAGAAATCCATATGTGGGAGATGTCACTCTCAAAGTAGATAAGCAAAGCCATAGCATTTGGTGTGCACTCCCATTCATGAGAAGCAAAATAAATGCTATCTTTCAAAGCATTTCCATTTGGTCATGGTTTCATGGGAGTTTATATTTGTGGATGAACTCCATGTATAGACAGTGAAGCAACAGGCAGACATTTGGTTTTCCTTGGCAGTAAACCTCGCCAAAGGAAGGTGTAGTTAAGAAGGTAGATTGGTAATATTTGCTACACCTAAGTGGGGAAAATAGATTTAATAGTCCTCTGACTTTTTTGTTATTCTGATGATTTTTTAAAAAGCTTTATAGAGATATAATAGATATACCATATAACTTACCCATTTAAAAGATACAATTCAAATGGTTTATAGTATATTCACAGTTGTACAACCATGGCCACAATCAACTTTAGAACATTTTCATCACCCTAAAAAGAAACTTGTACCCATCAATAGTCAGTCATAAATTCCCCCTAAACCACCCTATACCCCCAGCCGTAGGCAGCCTCTACTTTACTGTTTCTAGAAATTTTGCCTATTCTGGATATTTCTATATAAGTGAAATCAGATAATATGTGGTCTTTGTGTCTGGTTTCTTTCACTTAACACATTTTTATAATGTTAGATAATGAGCTTTAATTATGAAGGCAGTTATTATGAAGGTTTATTCATGTCATAGCATGTTCTGTATTTCTTTTTATTGAAGAATAATATTTCATTGTGTGAATGTACCACATTTTACTCATTTAGCCATCACTTGATAGACATTTGGGTTATTTCTTCCTTTGGCTATTATGGATAATGCTGCTATGAACATTCATGTACAAGTTTTGGATAACTTTCACAAACATTTTATCTGAGCTAAATTTTATTCTTTTACATATGTGTGTTTTTCACTGTTTTAAATTTTAATATATTCACATTTTCTGTAGAATTTTGCCTTTAAAATTCATGTTTTTAAAATTAAATTGAAAAAAGAAAAACTGTCTTTTAAAATAATGTTATTTTGATAAATGAAATAATTGAAACTTAATTCATCTTTATATTTTAAACTTTTACTCATTTTTTGTCCATAACTCACACATAGTAGTGCATAGTTTTAACCGATGTAGTTGTTGTTTATACTGCTACTTTGTTCTGTTAAATTTTCTTTTCTTCCATGTGTTTTTTTTTCTGGATTCTCTGCTTTATGATTACAAAGAGGAATTCCTGACTTATCTAGAACACTACCAGCTAACTATTCCAATAAGGGTTGACCAAAATGGAGCTTTCCTCAGCTTTACTGTGAAAAATGAGAAACACTCCAGAAGGCGGCGGAGTATGGACCCTATCGACCCACAGCAGGCAGCATCTAAGTTATTTTTTAAACTTTCAGCCTATGGCAAGCACTTTCACCTAAACTTGACTCTCAACACAGATTTTGTGTCCAAACATTTCACCGTAGAATATTGGGGGAAAGATGGACCCCAGTGGAAACATGATTTTTTAGACAACTGTCACTACACAGGATACTTGGAAGATCAACATAGTACAACCAAAGTGGCTTTAAGCAACTGTATTGGATTGGTAAGTAGATGTTGTAATTTTAAGTTTCTTACGGGTAAATAAATTTGCAGTGTAAATGTCTTTCTTCAGATATAGGTGGTTTAAGTAGGGAAGGCAACAGTTTAATTCTTTTGTTTGTTTGTTATTTCTGCTGCCTTTGCTTTTGATAGTATTTTTGATAATGTTTGTATTGATTTTTCAAAGTAAAAGCAATATTTAATACCTTATATTATTAGTAGAAAAATGAATGAAACTTCAGGTGTAATTTTAGACTTAAGTTTTTCTGTTCAAGTAAGATATCTTTTATGCATAAACAAAACTCCATCTTTGGTGAAAAATTTAAGGTTATATGTGTATGTATGTGTGCGTATTATTTCAGGAAACCACAACACTGATTGCCTCTTTAGGTTTCTTTATATAGTATCTTTCTCTGGTTATCAACATCGCTTAAATATGTGTGACCTACTTATGATTATAAATTCTTTTTTTTTAAAATCTAAAAAAAATTGATTTTAGTGAAGACGGGGTAGAGAGAGAGAGAGAGACATTGATGTAAGATACATCAATCGGTTGCCTCTGGTACATGCCCTGATCAGGGATTGAACTCTCGACCTGGGCATGTGCCCTGACTGGAATTGAACCCACCACCTTTCAGTGTACGGGATGATGCTCCAACCAAGTGAGCCACACTGGCCAGGGTGGTTATAAATTGTTGATGCAAAATATTTTATTACCCATATCTCTTTTGAAATATTACTTTCCTGCATTTATCTGAAGATTGATTATAAATCTTATTTTACTTAGAAAATGGATTTCAAGAGTGTAAGGTGTCTCCTGGGCATCTGAGCCCATTCCAGGCTAATGGTAAATGCACAGTTCAGTGTGGCAAAACAAAGCATATCCCCACACTTCCTCTACTGCTTTTACCCTATTCAGGCTAATGTAGATGTGCCATTAAAGCTCTGTTTGTGTAAAAGAGCACAAACTTTTTTTTTGCTGCAAAATGCTTTATTGTTTCTATTTGGTCCCATGTTTGGGAGAGGGCTCCAGGTGGCTAAAAAGATGACTAGGAGTTTCAGGGAGAGGCTCAGGCAGAGGCCAGACACTGGGGGATGCAGAGGGGCCCCCTAAAGGCCTCTGGGCTCCAAAAGCACCTAGTCGTGCTTGAGGGTGAGCCTTTCAAAGAGATACTCGCCCAGCCCAGCCTGGGGGATGGCCAGACTATGGAGGTGAGTTGGGTGGTCGCTCATCTTCTGGATGAGTTTCACCAGCTCACCCAGGGAGTGGCTCTCCAGGAGTCACAGAGAGAAGGGTCTGCTCGGGTAGAACCCAGGGCCTGCAGGTCCAGAAGGACCTGGTCCCGGTTCTTCTCCAAGGCCATGGGGCTTCCATGGAGTCCTGGGTGTTGCCCCACTCATCTTGGGGAGGCTTCAGCACGTCCTGGAAGAGGATGCGGCCACCGTGATGGCTTTGCTTCTTTAAGCGAGGCTCAGCGCCCTCGTGCTGAGGGCACCTCTTCTTCGCCAACTCGAGGAAGAAGTTGCCCATGCCCTCCAGAGCCGCATCATCACGGTAGTTTTAGAAGCCCAGAGAGAGGTGGCTGTAGGAGGCCCGCAGATGGAGGTTGGCCAGGCGGTTGATGGGCCTCCGCCTCGGTGGGATGATTCTGACGAATTTCGGAGCTCATGGTGGTTCAGCAACAAGGAGTTAAGGTCAGAAAACGGTGTTGGCTGGTCTTGGAGACTGAGGTTGGCTGAGGTGGTTCTGAAGGTGACTGGAAAAGAGGTTGGAGGGTAGTCGGAGGCTGGGGGAAGGGGCGTCCCTGGGTCTGTTCCGTCCAAATACTGTTGGAGCAGGAGACAGATCTGGGGGATCTGCATGCTGAAGCCATACTTTCAGAAACTGCTTTTCTTTACATTCATATCCTTATTTCTNGAGCTCATGGTGGTTCAGCAACAAGGAGTTAAGGTCAGAAAACGGTGTTGGCTGGTCTTGGAGACTGAGGTTCTGAAGGTGACTGGAAAAGAGGTTGGAGGGTAGTCGGAGGCTGGGGGAAGGGGCGTCCCTGGGTCTGTTCCGTCCAAATACTGTTGGAGCAGGAGACAGATCTGGGGGATCTGCATGCTGAAGCCATACTTTCAGAAACTGCTTTTCTTTACATTCATATCCTTATTTCTACTTTAATATAAAGAATACATAGTTAGAGTTGGAGCTAAATAAGTCTTAAATTTGAAAGGAGTATTAAGAACCAGGAAGTTCAGGAAAATTTTCACTATAGGTGAAATTTTCACATAAGAATTTGCTCAGATTGTCCATTTTCTATTGCTGTTAGTAGGTCAAAATGATTATTTAGATTTTAAGATTTGGGATTAACTCCTATAAATAGACACATTGAGTACTCTTATCACTAGTTTCTTTCTCTGCAAACAGTGTTAGGCTTTACATACAAAATAGATTTATCTTTTTGAATAAAAATAAATTATCCAAAGTAAATCTGTGTTTTAAAAGCTTTCACATGTTAAAATGACACTTGCTGTTAAATATGATAGAAAAGTACCCTTCCTAGTCATTGATCAAGCCCTTGAAGTTTGGCATTAACATTAATCATGCCGTCAATAGTTTAACAGGGTGGTAAAGGAATGTGAGATTTAGAAAACAACAGCAACACTGATTCCACTGTGAGACGTGAGGGAACAGGAGTGACTGAAGGTATGAAGATGGGTTAGAACATTTAGGAGACAGTGACGCCTTTACAAAGTGATGGCACTGAGAGCCCAGAAGGTGAAATTTGAACCACACTTTGGTGAGAAAATTTAGAGGGTTTGTATTTTATTAATTTTTTCTTCCCTGGTATCTAATAAGACCATATAGTACATAGGAGATATTTAACAATATTTTAAGAAGTTGAAATAGAATTGAACTGGGCGTGGAATGGAGAGAAAGTAATTGAAGGCAGCTGAGGTTTCTCTTTTGTTTGGGGGCTGTTTATGAGTTTCCCTAATTGAGAAAGGGGATGCCAGTGGAATGCTGGATTGAAGAAGAAGGTGAAGAGAGTGATTTCGACATATAGCAAATGTGAAGAACCTAAAGAAATAAAGGTTAACGACGCCTAGTTGGGGTTTGGGAAAATCAACTCTGAAATTTTAAAAAGAATTGAATTCTGGAAACAAGTAATTGGAGAGTCATTAACAGGAAATTGTGAAAGATCTTGCAAACAAGATATCGTTGGAATAAAGTCCTGAGCAAAAGTGAGACTAAGGTTGCCCTGGCTGGGTAGCTCAGTTGGTTAGAGTGTTGTCCCGATCCCTGATACCCAATCCCCGATATTCCAAGGTTGTTGGCTCAATCCTGGGTCAGGGCATGTGCAAGAATCAACCAATGAGTGCATAAGCAAGAAGAACCACAAATTGATGTTTCTGTCCGCCCCCTCCCTTCCTCTCTCTTTCTAAAAACCTGTTGTTGGCAAAAGTTTAAGAAGAAATGAGAGAACAGAAAAGACTAGATAGACAATGATTTAAGGAATTTTGGAAAGCAAGAGATGATCATTTGCTGCAGGCATGAGTGGTATGAGAAGTTTTGTTTAATAGGAATGATTATGTAGAGAAAAGGGAAGTTTCTGGAGTGATGTTCTTGGTAGGCAGAGAAGGGATGGAATCATCTGCATAAATAGAACAGTTGTCCTTAGCTAGGAGAATATACAGCTCATTTATAATAACAGGATGTAAAATAGATATGGACCTGAGACCCAGGTGGATGGGACATTTGTGGTTGTAGTAGTTTGTAGGAAGGTTGCCATGTTGTTTTATTGGAACAGAAGATGGAAAAATGAGGTGTTAGGGGATTAAGAAGAGAGGAGAAAGTATGAAATATTTATCCAGGAGAGTGGGATACTGAAATAAACCAGAGAAACATAGTATAATTGCCATGAAGCGTTAAGGACACAGTTGAGATTGTGATGATGAAGTTAAAGTGAGACCAGTTGGCATCTTGATGTGCTTTCCTCTGGCTAAATGAAGCAGCAAGGGTGTAGGCCCAGAGTAGCAAAGTTGAATTTAATTAGAGTTGCAGTTTAGCCAAGTAAATTCCATGAAGGGAGAAAAGGGCAAGGGAATCGAAGGTGGAATTGAAGCTGGGTCGGGAGGGGAGTGAGGGAGGGCAATGAAAAGATCAGTGTGTCCTACTGGGCATAAAAGGGCTGTCTTGTGGAGTTGAGATACTTGAGAGGCAGTACTGGAGAGACAGAAGAATGGAATACTTGAAATTGAGACCATGGCAAGGTTGCAAATATTGATAATGCTGAAGTCTAGGTTTTGACTGTGAGTATGAGTATCTAAGGTAAGGTGGAGGACAATATATTTGAAAAAAAGGAGGCCAAGAATTGAGAACGCAGGTATTGAAGAGAGCATATATGTCAGTACTTCTAATCCTGGGGTTTGTGGATAAAATTCAAGGGGTTTGTGACCTGGAATGGGGACAAATTACATCTTTTTTTTTTTTTACGAATTCTTGAATGAATCTAGCATTTCCTTCTATTATGTATGTCGCTAACAAACCACAGCAGTACCTGGGACTTTGTCCCCAGTAGAAATTATATTTTCATATCAATTTTTCAGGTTCTTCAAAATATTATTTATGTTAACCACTATTGTGAAATTCTATTAATTATTAGATCTACTGCAGATCTTAAAGTTTTATAAAAGCCGTGTGTGTTACTATTACATTTAAAAATATTTTGATACCTGTATTTCACTGCAATTTATTTCATTTATAATCCTATATATTTTTTCTGCAATTAAAATATTCTGAGAAGTGATTCCTGGGCTTCATCCCTAGGTTTTCAAAGGGATCCAGGGCATGTGCACTCTCTCTCTCACACACACATACACACATTTTAAGATATAAGAAGACATTGGCTTCAATTACTTTAGGAATAGCATTGCAGAGAGTGACAGTGATCCAGAAGCTAAAGTGCTTAAAGAATGAAGAAGGTGACTGTGAGTCAGTAGATAACTGCTGCTAGCAGAGGGAGGAGGTGATGGCTTGAGATTCAAAGCTGGTGGGTTTTGGTTGGTTGGTTGGGTTATTTTGGAGGAGGGAGAGGGAGAATTGGTTGGAAATGGCAATGAGTCACAAGGACACATACCCCGCTTGCAAGTCCAATAGGAGGCATGTAGGAGAGAAAGCAGCACCATTCTAGGGGATTACAAGGAGGAGTGTCATTGAGGGAAACTCAGGTTTTCATTTGAGCCAGATGAAGTGAACATTCACAGATGAGGCTGAGGGTTTAGGAAATTTTGTTGATAACTGACCTGGAGTTTCAGAGGGCATGGTAGAAATGGTTTAAATGGTGAAGGGAGTGAGTAGCTGATGCAGTCTGAAAACATGATGTGTATAACCATATGCGAAATAGAATCCAAGGGATGGGTCTGGTCTTCTTGTAAGGACTGGTATGGCAGAGAAAGGGGACACGAGGGGATTAATCCTGGTGGTCCTGATGCCTCAGTGTAGAAGTGGGTGGGATGCTGAGGGAAGTGAGAGCAGGGCTCTTGCTAGGCATGCACAGATTCCTGGGAGTCCGCTTAACTCAGCTCCTCCATTGTCAGGCCTCCAGCACCTTTCTGATTTCATATTTATTTGTCATGCAAAGGCAATGACCACACGGTCTGGTCTGCCTTTCCCCAAGATACCTGTTTAGCTTGCTCCTTTCTATGGTCTCAGTTTCAAGTATTCCATTCTTCTATCTTTCCAGTGCAGCCACTGATCCTTTTCATTGCCCACCCAATTCATGTCCTCACTTCCCTCCCAACCCAGCTTCAATTCCACCTTCAATTCCCTTGCCCTTTTCTCCATGGAATTTATTTGGCTAAACTACAACTCTGATCATTTTGCTCACATTTCTGTTCAAATGCCCCTTTATTAGAGAGGATGACCCTGACCATCCTAAATAGTTTGTGTAATTCCCTCACTTCTAATTTCTCTCTATTCTCTTACACTGCTTTATTTTTCATGTTCACATTTATCACTACCTGATTGATCACTTATTTATCTAATGAATGAATTACTTTTTCTAGCTCCTCCCACCAGAATGTAAGCTCCGTGATACTTTGTTTTGTTCATTACTGTATCCCCAGCATCTAGAACAGTACCTGCCGTGTGATAGGCATTCAAAACATGGTTGGTGAATGAATAAATAAAGTGAGAAATAACCCTGAGGATAAGGAATTATAGTATAGTGGCTAAGAGTCTGTCTCCATAGTCAGTCAAGTGAATTTGTTACTTAACTTTGCTCAGTCTCGGTTTTTCACCTGCACAGAGGAGCTGATAGTAGTACTCACTTTAAAGAGCTATTAAGATGAAATAAGATAATATGTGTGAACATCTTATAGAGTACCTAATGCATAAAATCTCTGGATTTTCTTCCACAGTCTTTCCATTCTTGAAATTAGAGATTGTATCTACTTACAAGGATTGTGACTCTATTTTCCCAGCAACCTGAGTTTCCTGTCTTGAGTGACTTGCCCACAGTCCAGCGTGACTTTAGTGCTCTTCCCTTTTGGGGTGGTACTCTGGACCCCCCTTCCTGCCCTTTCCTCTTACCAAGACTTCTCATACATTCCCTCCTTCCTGCAGGAACTGTAATTACTTCCTGGGAAAGTCATTCATGCTCAGGTATTAGTGTTCGTTAATGGCAGATTATGTTAGTCCTATCAGTATGTGCATTTAATTTAGAGACTGATATCTTTCCAGTAAGGCAAACAATGGTGAAAATAATATGAAGTGACTAAGGACTGCATATTTTTGTTTGTTTTTTACATTTCTTAGCTCCTTTCCGTATAGGTGGCCCCCACCTTCCTCTCTAAGTTAGAGCAGCTCTGGTTTTGTCGTATCTTTCTTTCCAAGCGTATGATGCGCAACGTGAATTTCTCTAAACGGCATCATAGAGCCTTAGATTCAAAGGGGCTTCAGAGATGATCTGGACCAGAGGCTTTCAACTTTTTTCTTTTTAAAGAAGCAAAACCCTTTCCTCAAATTAAATGTTATGTGGAAACTTAATATATAGATTAATTAAAGCACAGCTGATTCCTAAGCCGGGGAATCCAAGCCCTGTAGGTCTCTCTTTGTTGTCTGGGGCGGTCCCCTGAGGGCTCTTCCCTGGAACCCTTAGGGCTCCCCAGAGTGCTGTTTTAAAACCACCAATTTACACCAACCCTTTCATTTTCCAGCTGAGGAAATACCGGAGCGTTTGTGTTTTATCCAGTGTTACAGGGTAAATTAGTGGGATTAAGAGCAGTCCTCACAGGTGCCACACTTAGGAAAATACTGTTAGACAAGGATGCAAGTTCTTATTTCTGATGCAGATAACTTTTACTCTCTTATTTCTTTTCATCAGCAAATTTGTATTTGGTGTACCTAGTACACGTGGGGCACTTTCTGTGGCTGTAACTGACACAAAGAAATAGGACACATAACCCTTTGTCTTAAGAAAGCAACTGGTATACTTGGGAGGATAAAACATGCAGTTGAAAAGTTATACCAAATTTAAAGATAGCTTCAGGAGTTGAGATGTAGCAAAGAAGTGTGGAATTAATTAAAAATAAATAATAAGCCCTATTGGAGCTCAGGGGACTGGTGAAGCTACTCCAGTTGGGCTAGAGACATTTTTAAAGAGGAGCTATGACTGAGCTGAGTAGGACTTGGTTCAATAAGTAGGTATACGGCAATTAATACTGTGGATAAGAGCAGAGTTTTGGGTGCATTCCAGCTCTTCTTCACTTACCTCTGTATAATATTGGGCAAGCTCTTAACCTCTGAGCCTGTCACTTCATCAGCAAAATAGGGATATATGGCAGGTGTATTAATTAAGGACATATTAATTGGTGTAACATAAACCTTAAAATGTCAGTTATCACAATAAAGGTTTGTTGTGTTCAGCGTCTATGTTGAACAGCTTTCCATGAGGTCTCTCAGGAACCCAGGTTCCTCCTCTTTTGGTTTCCACCTTCCCTAGGTTTTTGGGGTTTTTTTTCCAGAGAGAATTCCATTGGGGAGGTTTTCACGGCCTGGGCCTGAAGGTGATGTATAGCACTGCCCATTTTCTGTTGGCCAAAGCTCAATTACAAAGCTGTACCTAAACACAGAGGAAATAGTTAAGTGCACAACTTGGAAAGGAAATATATCTTAGTGAGCACAAAGAGGTCTCTGCTGCTTCATGAGTTGTTAGGAAGATTGGAGGAAATAATGTATGTATCATGTTTAGTACAGAGCATAGCACATAGAGGTATTCAAACATCCTTTTTAAAGAAAAGGAAAATTTTTATAATATTTACTTAAGTACAATTGACTAAATTTTTACTAACATGTTTTTTTACTGTTTCAAAGAGGTATCAGTTTATTTTTAACTTTTGGTAATGATGATATTCAAATGATTCTTCTTGGCAAATTCTTTGTTTCTTTTTCTTTCAGCATGGTGTTATTGCAACAGAAGATGAAGAATATTTTATTGAACCATTAAAGAACACCACAGAGGATTCCAAACATTTTAGTTATGAAAATGGCCATCCCCATGTTATTTACAAAAAGTCTACCCTTCAGCAACGGCATATGTACGATCACTCTCACTGCGGGGTCTCGGGTGAGTGAGCGAGCATGTGGTTTTTAAAGAACTTATCGTATTGTGTTGTATTGCCACTCTCTTCTGGCATGTATGGTAAGGTTAATAATAAAAGTAAATAAGAATTTGAGTAATTAGAATGATAATGTCCAGAGTCCTCTTTAAAAAAGGTCATCTATCAATAGTTTTAAGTCAGTCTTGGAATCTCTCTGAAATATAAGTGTGTAAAATTTTGATTTTTTTTCTTTGAAGGGGAAAGAAACTGACCTTATTTTATCTAGGTGGTAGTTATAGTTCTCATGCATAGCACTTGGTGCTGTTTGCTCAGCCTGATATTTTTATGCTAGTGACAGGAATCTAGACACTTGAATAAGACTTGAGGAGTTTTAAGGTGGTATTAGAAAATAGTGATAGTTGGGGTACTATAGAAAAATATAGAAGGGGCAACAAACCTAAACTTCAGTGGTCAAAAACGGCATCATGGAGAAAGTGACTTCTAAGCTGAGGCCTAAGGGATAAGGCAGGGTAGCTGGGCAAAGGTAGAGGGAGCAGTGGGTAGTGTGCCCTATAGAGGAAACAGCAGTTACAAAGGTTCTGAACCTAATGAGAGAATGTCAGGTTCCAGGAACTGACAGTTCATATAGCTGGATGTTAGAATGTGGGCTGGGGAAATAGGGGTGAGATTCATAGTGGTTGGAGGAGTGGTTGTGAGTGATGAAACTGGAGAAATAAGAAGGCGCCAAGTCAAATCACAAAGGCCTTATAAACCATGTCAAGGAGTTTGTTTATCCTAAGTGTGCTAGAAAGCCACTGAAAGGTTTTATGCAGCAGGAATCACATGATCAGATTTGAGGTTCAGAACGATTACTCCGGCAGCCATCTGGAGACTGAATTAAAGAAGAGCAAGACTAGAGGTAGGGAATTAGGAGGCTGTCCAGTCTAAAGGTTAGAAAACATAGAGAAACAGAGGACATTGCATAGCATAGTAGGAAAAACATGGGCTTTGGCGTAGCTTTGGACACATTACCCAACCTCTCTGAGTACTCCTCTCAGCACACATTAGTTACTCAGTTAAATTGCAGCCATCAGTATTGGGGTGACTGTTTCTAGCATTTAAAGAGCTACTATATATATATTTTAAAGATTAGGGTTGTTCTGTGTAGTTATAGTAGCTGAGACTAGGGGCAGAGTATTTCGGAGGCAGATTTCAGCTTAATACAGAGAAGAGTTCACCTACAAGTAAATTTAGCGACAAATGGGATAGGTTCAACAGGTAGGTTTGTAAAAAACCGAGGAGATTGCCTTGCAATTGGCGAGTGCATCACCCTTTTGTTTCCTCTTAGTGTCCTCCATAGGCTCCTTGTCTTCTGCTTCAAGCATAAGTGTTCTTTAAAGTTCTTCTCTCAACTGACTACTCTTATTCCACACCCTCTCTTCTTGAGTAATCTGGGAGGCTTTTAATTCTGGGAGATCGTTGCTAGTCAAGAATACTTGGTACTAGAAAAAGGCCACTTAAAAGTGAATCCACTTGGGGCATGAAATAATATTTCATAGTAAATAATAATAATAATAATAAAAAGATTTAATTGGTCTTTGTATTGAGTAATGAATCTAAATATTATGGAAGTAGTTTATTTTATTTTATATTTAACAAAAGTTAGGCTCTAAGTACAGCTATACATAAGCTCTAAAAATGAGGATTTGAATATTTAGTTATTTATTGTGATATAATTTCTTTATATTCAAATTATCCTGTTTTGAAGTACCTTTCTCATTAACTGGTCTTACTCAGGCAGATCCTTAGTTTTCAGTGGTTTAGGCATGAGTCAAATTGCCATCATAAAATTGTGCAGTTTTCTGGGGAAGATTTTCTTCTACAGTCCTCCCTGCATTATTGAGAATATTTCCTAAGCGGTCCTTGCCTTTAATCTGTTCCACTTACTAGCCATTTCTACTACCCCTAACACTAACTGATTTAGGTCAGACCCTCATTGTCTCTTGCTTAGACCACAGTGATGACTCTCTAACTGGTCTTCCTGCCTCCAGCTTTGTCGGCCTATGTTTAACCGAGTCTGTCTCCTAGATCTGGCTGCATTGCATACCTTCAAATACTTCACTGGCTTCCCAATAGTGGGCATATGGTGGTAGCTCCCTAAGTTCTGTGGGAATGTCATTAGATGTTATTGGGGGAAAAAGTGTTTTGTGTTAACTAAGTTTAGGAAACATTTGGTTAAGGACCACTGATCCTAACTGTGATACTATTTCAACAGCTTAGTTCAGGTGAGATGTGAATTTATAGGCATACACTACCAGTTAACCTGTTATCAGGAATCCACGTTTATATCAAACTATAAGACATAAAAAACCCTATTGACAGTGGGTATACTTACCTTGTATTTGGATATGGATATTTCTATTCTAATTAGATTTAAGCTTTCAATTTAAAAGTTTTTGTGAAAGTAACATCTATTTCTTGTAGAAAATTTAGAGAAATATAGGACAAAAAGAAGAAAAGGTTACTTTTATACTGCCACCCAGAGATAACTGAATGTTCTTATAGTCCATTGTATGGGTATTATGTTTCTATACCTGCATTATCTACTTATGTATTTATTAAATAAATATTAGCTTAGCATGTATGTGCCAGGCTATTCAAGGTGGTGGGGATGCAGCTTTAAATAAAGCAGGAAGATCCCCTGCACCCATGAAGCTTGTGTTCTAGTGAGGAGAGACAGTTAACTAAGTAAGCAATCAAATAAACAGGTGAATAAATACATGGCCGGTTGTCAAGAAGCAATAAGTGCTAGAAATGAAAAATAAAGGTTAATGAGATAATCTCGAATGGCTGTTTATATTAAAAATATCTTGCAGTTGATCAAATGCTTACAATTTTAGTTGAGATGGCAAAAAGATCCATGTATTTGGTTTTGAGGAAAAGTTCTTTATCGTATGGTTCACCAGCTTGGTTGCTTGCTTTCCATAAGCCAGCAAAGGAAAGACCCTAGTGAGAGAGATGCCACAGTATTACTTAATGTAATTATGGACAGTGCTCATATGCATGTAAGCGTGCACATGTGATCATCTTTGCGGTGTTCTGTTGGTGAGCAGCAAGCCCCAGGCCCTGCCAATACTGAAGGGGGGAGGAGATCACCAAAGGTGTGGGCATTAGGAAGCAGAGGTCCTGGGCGCCACCTTAAGAGTTTGGCTGCCACAACTGGACATGGGGGGACGTGCACTGGCTTACTGTTGAAATAAGAAGCTGTAACCTCTGCCTCGCTAACATTTAGGAATAAAGACACTAACTTAATGAGTTGTAAAAATATTTCACAGGTTCTTCTCATGGTCATACTCATTTTATTTCTTTCCCCCCCCCTTTATCTTTATTGTTGAAAGTATCACAGGTGTCCCCTCTCTTTACCCCCCCCATTGATCCAAATTTATAACTTTTCCCAAAGTAATTTTTAAAAGGAAAGGCTAAAGAAGTTAGAAAAATAAAGTGCCACTTTCTGTCAAGTATATAAATTAATCTAATTTTACTTCACCGTTTTTCAGTAAGTGGGGTTTGAAAGATTTTCTGTTCAATGTAAGGAAATATAAGTGAGGTGTGCAGAGGACCTGTACCTGCTCAAGTTTTTTAAGTGAAGATGAATATAAATGAGGCAAGTATTTACAAAGGACTTAGCACTAAAAGGCTTCCTGTGACCTGAAGAACCGAGTGTCTAGAAAACCATGGGGAAACCACAGTCTGCACTGAAATGTAGTGCAGAGCGAGTCACGCTAGACTCATTCTAATACCCTTTACCTCCAGGTTTTGGAAAAGGAATACTTTGTGTGCTCTGTCAGTAGACGTAGTTGTGGACCACAAAATAAAGTGAAAAAAATCATTCACAGCTTTTTAGAATTGAGACAGCTTAGAGCAGAATTGCTCTAATTAAGATCGTTTAATAAAAGCATCTTACTTTAAAAATAAATGCTCATCTTAGGAATAGATTTTTGCAACATTAATGTTCATCAGAACTGTCTTAGGCTGTTTAGAAAGTTAATGCTCTAGTTGCTTTTTAAACCACTTTAAAAGATTTGTTAAAAACACATTTTAAATTTAAAAGTATTATGATGTAATCACTTGCTGGAATAATGTGAAATGATTATTTGAAAATTGCTTTTTGTTAAGTAATTCATTATATTTATCTTGTTTTGTTTTCAAGAACAGTTGAATAGTCATAATAAAAGATTGGTTTTTATTAAGTAATTCATTAGATTTATTTTGTTTCCACGGGCAGCTGAATGTTTAATGTTTTTCAGATGATAGAATTATTTTGACAATTTTAAAGAGCATAATTTTCTAACTACTGCATTTTCTCATGCCCTCCCCTCACTTTGAAAAATCTTAATACTTTAGAGAATTTATGAGAAGCATGCCTCAACGGAAGACCTATAAATAAATAAACGTAATTAATGAACCTGTCTGAACTAGTTGATTTTTTCTGTTGTAGACCTCGTAAGTGGCAAGCCTTGGTGGCTGAATGACACATCTGCTTTTCCTTCTGCACTTCCGATGAATGGCACACACCCGCCCCACAGGCAGAAGAGATCAGTAAGCACGGAGCGCTTCGTGGAGACGCTGGTCGTGGCGGACAAAATGATGGTGGCCTACCATGGCCGCAAAGACATCGAGCATTACATTTTGAGTGTGATGAATATTGTAAGTTTGATCCCTCTATATGATACTTTAACTTAATAGTTTGTTGTGGTTTTTGACTAAGGTCATTGATTTTTATTGGGAAATAATGATTTAAGAATTTATTCATCTAAAATGAGAAGGACTTGACCTACTAACGTTTCAGTTTTATAGAAAATACATTTAAAGGCGATCTTATTGTTTATTTTCAGATAATACGACCCTTTGAATAGGTCGTGTTAAATCTTGCTTAAGAGGTTTTCTTCAACTTGAAACCAACTCATCCTCCTAATTACTATGTTGTTGATCTTCTTTAGGAGAAAATATTTCTTGAGGTTGACTTGTAAAATAGGCCTTTTACCGAGGCATCTTGAGGGAAGTGTTCTTAGTGACATGGGATGAAAGAAAACATTTTTATATACACTGTGGTTAAATTCATGAAAAATCATTTTGCCACTCTATAAAAAAAAAATACTGATCACCCTATGATTTTTGTCTGACTTTGTGTCTTTTCTTATTTTCTGGAGGTCAGGTTGCCAAACTTTACCGTGATTCCAGCCTAGGAAACGTTGTGAATATCATAGTGGCCCGCTTAATTGTTCTCACGGATGATCAGGTAAGAATGAATTAGTTTATAAATCTAGAATCTTAACAGACAGGCAATAGGATTATGTATTATAATATAATATATTTTATTATTATTCCTCTTAGGAAGTTCTAGTTGAATATGATTTTCGGCACTATGCACTTAGTATTTTAAGCAAATTTTAAATACTAGTTTACAAGAATATACCTCTTATGCCATGTTAAAGCTATATATGTATATAGCTGTATGTTTCAGTATAAAAGTGAACATTTGCATGACCTTCTAATAGTGGTTTTGGTTGATTTTCTCTGCTGATAATCACACATATTCACATTATCATTAAAGCTGGAACTGGAAAGAATGTTTGTTGAATAGTACACTAAATTAGCTCTCGGTCAGATATTACAGAGATAAAAATTGGCAAGAGAGTATTCCTAGAAACCACTGCTTCTAATTATAGCCCCACTTTAGTCTTCAAAAGTTTTAACAACTGACCTTAGTAATTTGTTTGGAACATTTCTGGTATGCATGTTGTATTGCAGCCAAACTTGGAGATAAACCACCATGCAGACAAGTCCCTCGATAGCTTCTGTAAATGGCAGAAATCCATTCTCTCCCACCAAAGTGATGGAAACATCATTCCAGAAAATGGGATTGCCCACCATGATAATGCTGTCCTTATTACGAGGTATGGTTTGTTGCAAGTATTTTACCTTTGATTGTTGTGTTTGATATTGTAACTATATTTGGCTCTATCTAAAGCCTCATTTAGGTAATGAGTATAGAGAAAGTAAAATGGTAATTTATTATTCACTACTAAGAAAGAATATATTACACTTACTGTGTTTGCATCAAATGAACCAAATAAGAAAAAAAGATTTAATTGAAGTAGAAATTTAATAAATATCTTACCTTCTACTAAGGTCTGTTCATAAGGTTTAATTGGAAGCACATATATACTTTGTTAATTGAACCAAATACATACAATGCAAGATTTTTAAAAGTATGCAAAAAAGCATATTTAAAAAGTAAAAATGTTATCACTCTTGGTTATAAAATATATTAATGATTCTCACCTCCAAATGTTAAAAGGGAGGGCATCGGTGGTTACACAGTATACTTAGATAAATGTTTATTTAATTAAAAATAGTTTAGTTAAGAGATATGAATATAAAGAAGCAGCTTTATTATACTGTATGTTGAATAGCTTGTCTCTCAGGCAAACATTATTTGATGACAACCCAAAGAGTGCAAGTATTTCTTTCCAGTTTTACAAAACTGTATTACTCCTGTTTTATTCCTTCCTTTCCAACAGCTCTGTAAAGTAGATATTAGTATTTTTGCCATGTAAGAAATGAGGAAACTGGTTCAGAATACCAAAGTTGCTCAAGATTGCTCAGCTAATAAGTGAAAAACCAGGACTCAGACCCTGGAGTTTCTGTCTTTTTTGATTCTATTATGCTGTCTTTGTTTTTTTATACTCTAGTTATGATTGGTTAGAAATACGCTTAAATCATTTTAAGATAAGTTTGTCTTTTGACCGCTTATCAGCATTTAAAATGCAGAACGATAAGTACTAACAAAACAATAAACAAAGTAGAAGCATTATTCCATCTTAGCTAAATGCAATAGCCTTTGTTATTTTGATGATTTCTTGTAATTTGCAAGGCAGTATTTCACTTATACGTCACCTGTGGTGTGCTCATGGCTACATTAGACTCTGTGGAGGGTGTATCAAGTATATGGCATTAGACCCTTTAGACCCAGAATCCTGAGTGAATTTAGCTTAAAACAAAATAATTTCTCTTAGAGTTGTAGAGTTAAAGTTCTTGAGTTTATTTTATTTTTTTACAGTTAAACTTACTTTAATTGCCTTCATCTACCTAACTTTGTAAACCGGAAAATTTTGTTTATGACATGCTTGCTGATTAAAAACAAAATTGTACAGTTCTATATTCACATGTGTTGACACGTCAGTCTGATAAATTCTGCAATTCCGCAGAGTCTTGTGGTTTGGAATGATTCCCAAATATTTTTGAGGAGTTAAAAATATACTAGAAATTGTACAAATATAGAAACCTTTGTGTAAAAATATATATGGATATCATTAGCGTCAATGAAATTACTAGAGGAAAATGTCTATTATGTATGGTTAAGAAAATGATCACAGATATTTACATTGGCTTCTGTGTTTATATTTAGAAAGCCCTACCTCTGCCCAAAGGCAATACCCAGTAGGCTCTTGATGCTCCACATTTTTCTTATTGTGTCTGCATCAGAGTTTTAACTTTTGCATCAAGTGACAGAAGTTACACCAACAGTGCACATTTATAAGTACTGGAGTAGTGACATGTACCTGGGCGATAGCGGCTCTTTCTCGCACTGGCTGCATGTGACTGGCTGGCTTGTTACTCTGGGTTGGCCCAGGTATTTTTTCATCCCCTGCAGAGCTCTTGGCTTCAGTAAGAGCTTTTAGTGCTGTTTCGATGTCTGAGAGTTGAATGCAAAATTTTCTTTGTTAACTTGTCTTCTGATGGTCAGAAGAGCACTAGAACTGATCTCGGGATTTAATAGGACAGTATTTAAAGAGTTCCTATCTCATGTCATTTTATATGGGCTATGTAATGGAGGTTAGAAAAATGCCTCTTTGGGGCAGCATAGAGTGCCCTTTGAATTGTTACTCAAGTTTCAAAGTAACCGTTAGCTTATTTAAAAGCCTACAAATAATTCTGAATTATTAGGGCCACAGACAGACTTATCCAAAGGAGATGGCTATGATCTCTAGTATTTGGGGATTTTTGTTGTTGTTGTTGGGGGGGGTTACCAGTGCTTGAGTCTCCTTTATAAATTTTTGATTTGTGAAATTGAATATATGTTTAAATCATACTACTTTTAGTAAAAATAATTATGAGAATTCCACAGGTGATTTTATAGTAATGTTGAAAACTGTTTCAAATAACTCACTTATTAATATGTTCAGGGTTAGGACTCCACCATTTAGAGGTATGATCGTGATTTATGTTGGCTTGAAATGTGGGCTCACTAGGGAGAAGGTATAATGTGTTTATTGGGAATTCCAGAGAAAAATTGATGGGTATGTTTATCTCCACTAGGCCTAATTTTGTCCTAGGGATTTAAATGTTTTAAGCAGAAGGCCATTTGGAACCATAGTTACTAAGGTAATAATACTAGTTGCTTTTGAAAAAAGTATAAAAACTCAAAATGTTATCTCCTCTTAGCAATTGACATTTCATTGTTTTATTTTACTGACATAAATGTAAAATAAACTGCTCTACAAAGCTATCAGATTACTGTGATTAAACAGAAATAAAATTAAGTAAAAAGAATTTTGTTTACATGGTATAAAAAATATTGAATTAACACCAAAGAGCATATTAAAACTATATATACATATATTTTAATTTTATATACATTTATGTTTATTTTTATAAATAAGTACATTTATAGAATATAGTGTTATATATCAGATAACTTTATCTAATCTTTTTAAAATAATTGAGATATAACTGACAAATAAAATTGTATATATTTAAAGTATACAACATGATGATTTGATATACATGTGTATTTTGAGCTGATTACCATAATCAAAGTTAATTAACACATTTATCACCTCATGGTTACCTGTTTCTTATTTCTTTTTTGGGGTGAGAATGCTTAACATGTACTATTTTAGCAAAGTTCAAGTATACATACAGAATTATTAACTATAGTCACGCTATACAGTAGATCCTCAGAATTTATTTGTCCTATAGCTAAAGGTTGTACCCTTTTACTAACATTTCCCCCACCCCCAATCCTGGGCAACTACCATTCTATTCTTGGTTTCTATGAGTTCAATTCCTCTTTAAAGATTCCACATATAAATGAGATTATACAGTATTTCACTTGCTCTCTCTGGTGTATTTCACTCAGCATAATGCCCTCCTGGGTCATCCATGTTGCTGCAATAATAAGACTTTCTTCTAGTTATGACTGAATAATATTTGTGTGTGTGTGTGTCTGTAGTGTGTGTATACCTGTATCTATATCATATTTTCTTTCTTTTTTTTAGAGGTAGCTTACCACAAATATAGTTTTATTTAAATTTTATTTTTTAATTACAGTTTACATTCAATATTATTTTATATTAATTTCAGGTGTACAGCACACTCGTTAGACAATGATATATATACTTCACAAAGTGGTCCCCACAATATTTCAAGTACCCACCTGGCATTGTACATAGTTATTACAGTATTATTGACTATATTCCCTATGCTGTACTTTACATCCCCAGGACTATTTTGTGACTACCAATTTGGAGTTCTTAATCCCTTCACCTTTTTCACCCAGTCTCCTAAACCCTCCCCTTCTGGCAGCCATCTGTCTGTTTGCTGTATTTATAAGTCTTTCTTTTTTTTTTTGTTTGTTTATTTTCTTTATATCCCACATAATGGTGAAATCATATGGTATTTGTCTTTCTCTGACTGGCTTATTTCACTTAGCATTGTACATCCATGCTGTAACAAATGGTAGGATTCCATTCCTTTTTTAGGGCAGAGTAGTATTCCACAAATGTACCACAACTTTTTATTCACTCATCTGTTGATAGTACTTGGGTGGCTTCCATAGCTTGGCTATTGTAAACAACGCTGCAGTGACATAGTGGTGCATATATTCTTTAATTAGTGTTTTGGATTTTTAAAATATATACCCAGAAGTGGAATTGCTGGGCCACAAGTATACCACATCTTCTCTATCCATTCATCTGCTGATGGACACTTAGGTTGCTTCCATAGCTTGGCTGTGGTGAATAGTGTTGCAATGAACTTGGAAGTGCAGACATCTCTTTGAGGTACTAATTTCCTGATTTCACTTTCTTTGGATCTATTACCCATAAGTGGGATTGCTAAGTCATATGGTATTTCTACTTTTAAATTTTTGAGGAAACTCAAAACTGCCAGCAGGGTAGTCTCCATGCAGCTTCATCAACTGAGGTTAACATTGGAACATTGCAGGGATGCTTACTGGCTCAGGCTGCAGTTGTTTGCAGCAGCAGTGAAGGATGCTGTGGACCACCTGACCTCTTTCTCCCCCATGGGGCATGCTGTGGGGGAGGAGAGTCCTCTTGGTGCCAGGTTCAGCTTGCAGGCACCTGTGGAGCAGTGCTGGAGCCAGGGACTGGAGTGCCAGTGCCCACAGTGTGACAGCAGCTCCAGGGTCTGGTGCGCTGGTTACCCTGCAGTGATGATGTGTGAAGGGCAAGTATGTGCAGAGTGGCTATGAAGAGAGTCTGAAGCATGGGCATTCACAGAGCAACAGTGGCACTTGAGTTCAGGGTGCTGGCTACTCTGCAGTGCTGTGGCTCTGTGGGATGTGGGCATGGGTGGAGCAGCCACAAGGCTGGAGTCTAGAGCATGGGTGAGTGCAGGGCAGCCCTGGAGCCGGGGTTTGGAATATGGGAGCCGGTGGAGCTACTGTGGCTCTAGTTAGGTGTCCTCAGGTTTGGAAGGTGCTGGCAGCCCTAGTCCCAGGGCAGCACAACAGCAGCTCCTTCTAGGGGTGAGCAAAGCAGCATCTCCTTTCCCAGGTCTGCAGCAGTGATGGCTATTGGTTACCTTAGTGTGAAAGAAGCGTGTCCTCTGTGGAGCAGGCTGGTGGGGCCCGTGCCTACTGACTGCAGGG